AGAGAACCCGCACGGAAGCTTCATGCTGGACTGGACGGCGCTGCGCCGGCGCGCCGCCCAGCTGATGGCGCTCGACTCGCCCGATGACGTCATCCTCAGCCAATCGGAGGGCGGCGCGCCGCTGGCCGCCGGCGGTGACGTGGCAGCGCTGGCCGGCTCGACGCTGCACGTGCGCCGGCGATAGTGCAGCGCCGTGGGCTGTGGAGCCCCGACGCCCAGTGTGCTACGGCTAGGTTATGTCGGATCGGCTGGACAGGACCGTGGCGTTCTGCCCCGCGCTGGCGCTGGAGGGGAGACGTTTGCCGAGGTGCCGGTTGCTGGTGTGGTGGGTGAAGCATCGCGTTCGTTCTGTTGCGTTGTTGGGGGATCGGACGTCTTTCGGTTGTGTCCTCGTGCGTCGTTTTGTGCGGACGGTCAGCATTCGCGTGCAGATACGCTCAGACATAATACACAGCCGAACGACGACTTCTCAGTAGTTGTACATGTACCGTACTCGCTCTCAACTCCGGAGTGTGGCCACTGCTTAGCATGCTGAGGAGCGGGCCGAGGCTCTCCGGCCCGGAAGAGCCTGTCGTCCCCCATCCGACCCAGCTGGTCCACGCGCGCTCGCTAGCGCGGCGGTGGTGCCCGTCTCCGATGTGGCATGAGGCCGTCTCCGTGGTCTCACACTACGGTACCATTATGGCTCGCGACTCTTCCGCACCGCCACTCGCTTTCAGCCATTGCACAACGGTTCGAGGGACCCGGATGAAGATGGGTGTCTGGTCACGTTGGCTTGCGGCGTGGATCGTATTCCACAACCATTCAGTCTATGCCGACGGCGATGTGTTTCGCCCCTCGAGATCATAGCGGGAGATGCCCAAGCATTAGACCTGGTTGTTGCTCGGCCATTTACCACCGGCCTGTCCGTCATGGAAGTAGGACTCCAGACACCGCTGGCCAAAGGACTAACGAAAAAGTTTGGCTCAGCGTTTGAGTAGCACAACCGGCAGCACATAAAAAAACCAATGAATCTTCAGACGGTGCGGCAAGATAGGAAACTGTTGTCAAATCATATGTCAGAAGCATTCAATTCAGGTGAGACAACAAGCCCTGTGATAACGTACTGACAGTCCAGAGACACCAGTGTCGTAGCAAGATTTTTAAGTGACGATGCGGCGTTGCCGCCAGGTTCTGTCGTTGACAACAGTTCTTACGCTAGTGTTCCCGCGCACACCGCCCACCACGTTTCTTTTCTTCAGCAATAACCTTTCTGTTTGATTCATAGTAGTTAAGTCGATCTGGAAGCGCGCCATGGTGGCGCATGACGTCACATGTACGTGACCAGCTGGGCTGTAGTCTGCTATTCATCTGGGAAAGCGCCCCTTCCCCTCCTCACTTGGAGTAGGGAGTGGGCCAAATCCGGGGAGAAACCCGCTTGTTGGCGTGTCTTGAGAATGTTGCATAATTTGTCACTGTTCAGCCCCCTTCCCAGCTCGTTTTGGAAAACTACGCTCCCAGTGTTCCGTCTCGCAGAGTCCAAGGCCGGCGTAGGTGGACTGAATGTATCTCTCCACAAAACACTGGGGTTCACAGTCAAGACAATACCCCGCACTCGCTACACAGTACCAATGCCACTATGTGTATGCCAACATGACACAGCGAGAGTAAGCATATGACGTCAGTGCCGTGCGGCGACGTTCACACGGCGCTCAGAGACCGGGCGACTCGGGAAAACAAAATCTGGGGGAGGATGAACGCATGAGCCAAGATTGGCACTTCCACACGCAATGGCCCGACCAATTCTCGCCGAGCGGAACCGTCCAGTCGCCAATTTTCTAGGGGTCTTCCCGGCGACGCGGTCTTAATGTCCGAAATTTCCTGAGACAGTTGGTGACTCGACGAACGTGATCCCTGTTTCTCTCTCCTGACGAGCGCCCAGCACAAAAGCTGCACGCGCCTCACACATTACCTAGTCGATATCGCTTCAGTATGTCACGATTTGCGGACTCTTCGCCTGCCAATAACGCTACATCACGTAGGCTTTGCCGTTGTGACAGCGCACAGCTGAAATAAAAAAACCTGACTGAATACGATCACATACAAACCAAGGTGCGTGGCAATAGCATTGATAACATCCACCAATTGTTGCAGGCAGTTTGCATGGAAAGGTCACAATGAATCAAAATGTATAAATTATACATGCACATGATTAAAAACTAGGATGCTGTATTTACAAGTATCAAGTTCTTATCACACTTAGCCTCATATGTATGCAGTACCTACTCACTTATATCAAGGCACTGATTCAACCTGTTCATTTGGAACCACCAATAGCTTAAAATGTTACGTGAAACCAGTTGATGAAAAACAGCTTCTTTTGCTTTACTTTGTCATCAAGCTGGTCGCAACTCCATTTGCTAGCAGTATGCAACGGCCGGTACCTCAAGGGGTCGGAGGTGCTAGAAGATCAAGTCCAACACACTCCCTGGCGACCTTTACACCGACGGCAAACACCGCGATGCTTTTGATGACAGACCTGACAATGGAATCCCATGTTAGATAGGCTGATGTCAGGCTCACCAAGGAATGAGCTTTTTGATAGCATGGACACTACAATCATGGATTTACATAACATTATAACATACATCATCATCATTCATAGCACAATGAGTGACAAACTGGGTAGCTTAAAGAGAGGAACATACTATGGCAAGGCTTTGGAATCAGTCACACTCTATATGGAAAATTATTCATAGGAGGCTAATATGTGCTGGAACATTAAGCAATATCCCTGTGATGATCACTATAGCCAGCATTATGTGTAAGCAGCTCTTAAACTGCTGTGGCTGCTGCTGCCATGCTAACAAGATGCCAAAATCTTCATCACACGAAAACCTGCTAAACATCACGGGAGACATATGATGGCTTGCAGAAGCTGGCTCAATGTGTAGTTTGTACATTCAATGGTACACCTAGATGGTTGGTGTAGCATCTTTCAGCAGCTTGTCAGATCATACATTTGCTTTGAGAAGCAGGCTACATGTGACATTCTGCTTTTATTGAGCTGTTGTTAAAGACAGATATTTCACAGAATAAGTACAGCCAGAAAATGCTCCTAACAAGGAAGCTTTCATAAATTTACAACATCCTGCTTATTCCCAATGAGATTCCATGTCACCCCCACAGGATGGACACAAAATAGAATAATCCCACTGTAACATGTGCTATATGAACTGCTTGATAAACTCTATTGTAACATGTGCTATATGAACTGCCTAATAATCTATACTAGTTTCTGGAAGAGATTTTTTACAGACAAATGAATTTGCATATGATAGACTGGTGGCTTAAGTGGACACATCAGCACCCAGATGTCATAATGCTAGCCAAGAATCCTTCCCAGGACTTTCATTTGGAAGATGTGCATATTACCAACTTCCCAACTGACATTTTACCTCTGCACGCAACAAAATAGGGTGATCTCTACTTTTTTGCCCACCCGGAACAAGACCAACACTCCCAGTACCTTGCCTGCATGCTGCAGCATTAGCACTCAACAGGGACCAGCCTGCACTGATCTCCAATTAATTGACAATACCACCACAGTGTGGGCGCACTAAGCTGATCCTCTAACTAAGATCACAAATTTGACAACCAATCCATTCCAGAATTCTTGGTAGCAACAGCAACATGGTTAGAGTAGTTTCAAGAATGTGTACAGAACCTGAGCCAACTTTCATGGGCCCTTGTGGCACTTTGTTGGCCAGATGTCTTCATGTCTTTAACTCTCAACAATCAGGGAGATACTGTCTTCACAAGCAGCAGACACCACTCTAAGCAGTACTTCTCTGGCTACCAAGGTAACTATGCACAATTTAACACTTACCTGTCAGCTCCATCTTTAGTATAATGACAAAAATCAAAATATTGGCTCTTGCTGGCAAAATTAAAGCTCAGTTCCCAACTACAGGTCACACAGTACTCCCAAAGTAGCATCCCAGCCTGAACACAATGATAATTTTGATGAGATATAATTGAGGCATGGGCACAACACAGATTTTGTGCCACCTTTTTGGAAATTTTGTGCCAGAAATAGCCATACGGTGGCACTGGGGGCAGGATAGCATGTTCAATGCCACAAAATGGGAAGTCACAGAAAATAACCAAATGGCATGATGAATCAAGTTCTTTGGGGGCAAGTAATGCTAACAAAATCTGCCCAAGAAAGGGAAGGTTACTACCTTAATTGGGGTGGCACTATGTTTGCTCGAACATCCTGTTGGCATATTTGCAGACAGGGGCAGCACCAACCCGACTCGCCACAATGACCCATCTTTGCACAACAGACCTACCATTTGAATGGATCATTGTACAAGTTCTTCACGGCACCGATGATGCCAGTGCTCTTTGCAGGAGCCATGCAGGACGCCTTGCAAATAGGTAACAATATAATCGGCAGCCCCTAGCCGAGAAACAACGGCGACCGCAGGGTAGGGGGGACAATCGTTGAATAGTATAGAGCACGACCCAAAAAGCAGCGCGTGTTCACGCGTGTGCACGCGCTTTCACTCCGGTAGATAGAAAAGTGTCACAGGTGGCAAAAATGTCCTGCAAAGCTACCAAATTGGAATAGAGATGGTTGCATCGCGAGGAATATTATTTATATACAAAATGGAGTATTGATAGCCTTATTCCTCGTGGAATGACCAGGAGATTGGAGGATAAAGAGACTGATACGCGCGGGCTGAACTGTATTCTCGATCTAGGCTGCGTCTATGATTCTATGCGCGCTCGCAAGCCGACTTCTAGCTTTAATGGTCTGCGGTTGGTGGCAGCGGAGCCACCAGCTGGTTGCGCACTTGTGCAATATTCTAGTTCTGGGAGCAGGTCGGTAGTCCCGACCAGCTCTCATAACGATACTCCAGCGTGAATAATGGCGTCTGCATCCCAAAACATGCGTAAGCTGACGACAGTTTTAATTGACTTGTGATACTTTTTCCAGCCGAATAGTCCTGAGCATCCTTCATTTCGGTACAAATCATAAAGTTCCTACTATATCTTGGTAACTTGCCTAACCTATTTGGTAAAATTTCAACCCATCTGGTGGATAGTTTCATTCTGGACAATGCTTTCTTGTGTTTAGTGATTTAAGTAGGCATTGCGATCAAGAAGTTAGTTAAATCGTTATTCAAAACACCCTTATTGGTAGCGATTCCTCCAGATTGAAGGAAGTGTTTATTTTGGTTACCGGTTAATGGGCAGCGAACGGAATTTCATAAGTTTCGTTAGCCACATTGTCTTGCGCTTCAGTTTACGATGGAGCCATACGCTGCTTTAATATCAAATTTATCAACAAATGTACCACACTTAATCCGTAGCGAAATTATGGCAAGCTAATCAAGCACGCTACATTTGCAATTCGGTATTTTTAAAGATCAAATCAGCAGGATGAAATATTCTAGCTGGAAATTGGCAGCCTCTTTCTTTCGCTGCCGACAACCAAATGATAAACCTCATCCTTGATGCGGTGTCGGCACCGCCATTTTGGGGAATCGACCGTTTAGGCTGGACTGTGTGGAGTTTCGAGAGGTCCGTTTGTCGAGAACCAAGGTGAGGGATCGTGATCGTCTCCTATCTGCTTTGTGATGAATTGTTTTACCACCTGAGACTGCGCGGAAACGTGTACCGCTGCTGGACCTAAAGCTTTTGGATGTATGCGCTATCGACCAGTCGTGGATACCGTGTAACCGCTGTGCCTGTTGGGTTGTCGCGCCGGCTTTGCTGCTCTTCATGCTGCAATTGTTGGAATTTGGTCTCCTTTGGATGGCAGCTGTTGATATGTTCGGACGATAACTGTTAAGTGCTTAGCTAACCTCCCAATTTTGGCGGAAGTTTTTCGCGCTTTTGATCATTGCAATACGTTGGTTTGTTTCTTGTTCCATAAACTCGAAACGAAATGGTGAAGGCAGGCACTGTCATGGCTTACTAATGGAAGAGGCCTGTTCCATGTACTAGGTCATTCAACAGGACTGTGCAGTGGTACTTTGTGAGTTCTTGTGTGTGAGGTGTTTATGTATCTTGTGACTTGACAGTTATTGGTGTATCTCCCTCGTTATGCATTTTTCATGCATAGTTGGATCAGACAGGTCCAATTTGTTTCATTGATAATGTTAGTTATATGAAAACCATTCTGAAAAACCCACAAATTGTATTGAACTGGCTTCTTTGATGTTAGATCTTATTGGATGTCTTCCTCACCAATTTAGCATTATTGCTTGTAATTTATTTGACTTTTTGCAATGTTTGTGTTTTGTGATATTCTTAGTGAAGCAACTTGCAAGTTTTGGTACAATGAATGGTTGAGAGCTTAAAGCCCTCTACATTGGCAAATATATTTACAAAGATGAGACTGTCAAGCAAGCCGTCAATCAAACTAAGCAAAATATTACTTCATGACTTTATTTCTTGCCTATTGTGGCATTTTTTCTTATCAATGTTTAAATGCATAATGACTATTCAAGAGGCCTTTTGACCCTGGGAGACATTATTTACTTGGATGCTTGTGTTAGGTATGGCCACATATCTAAGGCATGAGTACATTAGCTACATAGCTGGTTTACTGACCTGTGTTTTATCAATACACTGCTTGTGAAATAAATATGCTGCATGCTGTGATTATTACAAGTGTTCATGTCTACTGACTACATGCATACCCAATCAACACATGAATACATCATATGCCCAACACTGCAATTATTATGGTTAAAAGTATCATGTGGTTGAAATGACAAATTTAGCCCCACTTCAGCCTCAGCTTTGCCTGACATTAACTTACCACACATCCTAACCTCTGTCATCACATTAATTACTTACTCTCGCAATCATAGTCAGCCTAAAAATGGTTTGCTGAATGGAGTAGACATGCTTATTTTGTTATCATTCACTTTGCTTTGTCATTGCACAATGTCAGCATGGCACTTTGCATAAATAGTTGGGGTGGATGTTAATCTGCCATTGAGCCACATATGTTGCAAAAAAGCAATACAAATATTTGCTAGTATGTTCACAATGCTCCACTTAGCATGGTCGTGTGATTGTTTATTTGCTCAAAATATTGTATAATTATTATAGAAAGATACCTGCAGCTCACTTTGAAGTAAGTTATCAGTAGCTTGCTTGTCTTGTTAAATAACAGCAGTCAATTTGTGATCTATAGTTTAAAAAAGAATATTTCCTGTCACCAGAGATGTGCTATCCACACCTGCTTCATCAGGCAGAGAGCTGGCTATTAAGGCTTTGACATGTAAGATAATGCTAATCAGCAATCACTAGTGTGGAAGTAGCCCCTATTCCTGTGTGACAAATATTTCTGTATGATTGTTTGAGCAGACCAGTTTGTTTCCCTGTTGTTCATGAATAAGCAGTAATATTTGCAGCATTGTTCAGATTTTCATGCTTGAAGTTTAACATGGTCAATCACATATTGTGGGCCTTTAGCAGCTCAAGTACCCTGCCTGATTTATACAGCAAACTTGCATGTGCTTTCAATTCAAGGTGCTGAAATATTTGTGGAGCATGCTTCAAAACCTTGTTGCTAACATTGAATTTTGTATTCAAATAGAAATCAGGGTTTAAGAAAAAGTCCTGGTTAGCCTGCCTGAAATAGTATTGGCAGGCTGTGACTCCAGGAATCTGCATTTCAAAATCATGAACTAAATTGTTACAGATATGGGTTACTGCTTGTGTGCTTGGATATGGTTGGGTTACTAGCAGATTGGCTTGTAACAAAATGCTGATTTTGTAAAAATCCTTAGAAAAAGCTGTGTTTCTGGGCAAAGGGAAGAACTGGGGAAGACAGATATGTAGAAATATAGAGTATAGAGTAATCAGTTGGTTACATTCAATGTTAAGCTTGCCCAGATTTCCACTGGTGTGTTATCAAAATGGACGTGTAAATGTTGCAGCTGTATTTGGGAGTGCCTATATAACCTCTGATTTTCTAGGCCGCAAGTTGAGCATGCAATTTAAGCCTCAATTTCAGCCAGCACACCAATTTTTCCCATGCTTGGCAAGCCATGTTTCTGGCTAAGATGTAAATGGACAGCACTTAACCCACCCACTGCTCTTTTTTGTGTTCACTCTTACAGTTGCCTGCTGCTTTCTGTACCTGCCCCTATTCTGCCCCTATGCTGCATTGTATATGTTTAGTTTTTAAAGGGTGTATTGTAGTTTGATATGCCTTCTGGCAGGACATGCTTGCTCTGTGTGTGTTACATGTGTGATTTTAGGATAACATGACCTCATAGAAAAATGCATAATGAAGATGAAGATGTAATGGGTGTCCTTCCCACGTAGCTGTTAGATTCTGATGTGTCAGATGTGATATTTGTTGCTTAAATATTTGACAGCATGTTTCCAACCAGAATGTCTTTCTTGGACTTTAAAAGATGTATTCACCAGTTCATTCAGAATTGATAATTGTGAATATGCTAGTATTTGTTGGCTACTCATGTTTGCTTACATGATCTACTGGCACATGATGCTCATGTTTTCATGAAGACCATGGCACACTGGTCAGCTGACTGCACCACACAGCTGCTGCTGCAAGTGCATGTCTACTATATTACTAAAGGAACATATGCAGCTAAACTGAAGAATGATGTAGCTGTTTGGCCACATAGCACTGCCTCAAATTGCAGTTTCTTGAAAGCTGCATAGAGGTAACAGTGATATATCTTCATGTTCCAGGCATTCTTTTTATTTTATATATTTTGACATGATAGGAATGCCCATGCCCTCAAAGTGATCAGTGTGAGCCTGTCAGAGATGTACAGCAACTTCAGAGATGTTGGGCACTGTTGGTCCCACAATGTGCAATCATCATTTTCATCAGCTGAATGTGTGCTGAATGGCCAGTGTGCCAAGGTCTTCACCTTCATGGGCACAGCCACGTTGTTTTTGTTGATGGGCTGCTGGACTGGAGTGTGAGCCAGCATGTCCGGAGCATTCTGCTTGATGACGTTGACCTGAGTCCATCAGAGCGCAGCGTGCGGCGGCATGTAGCCGGCTGTCAGTCGACCGTCACGTATGCTGGCGTGTGCCCGGTGTCACATGTCAACAGCTCGCCTCTGGCACCCAGGCCAGCTCCGTGGTCGCACCGATCGGCCGGCACCGGCCAGCGCATGGCCATGTCCGGCGTATGTGTGCATGCGTGCGTGCGTGCTTGCGTGCGTGCCGTGCCGGGTGTGTGGCCGGCGCAGCCGCAGGTGGAGCGCTGCCGGCGTCGGCGGCGGGCGGCCGGCCGCCCCACCGTCTGTGACTTCACCGGTGCTGTTCTCGGTAACACGCAGTGTCTCGCGCCGGCGCCGGTCGGAGCGCGCTCGGAGCGGCCCAGCCAGAGCCCGCCGCCGGAGCAGCTCTACCGTGGCGCCGACGGGACCGGTCGTCACACGCTCTCTCGATTGTGACCGGCGTTAGCGAGCGTCCTGTTAGCACGCCGCAACCTCACTTTGTTTGGCCATGGGTGATGCCGATTTAGACCTATATGAAGATGTTGACGACTTCAACATCAAGGTAAAGTACTCAGTGTTCTGCATCCATGTCTGTTCTGTGTAAAGAACTCAATAACGGGAAGTGCTTCACCAAACTTGTCTGGATTCGCGCTGTTCTGTTGTTTTATTTCTTTATTGTTTGGCTTCATTTGTGCTGACTACTACATTTCATACAACCTGTGTTAGCACTGGTGCTGTGATCTTGTTATATCTGTGCTCACAAATCATCTACAAGTGTTTATTTTGGTGCAAGCAAATATGCACGTGAAGGGCTGTTAAATGAATTATGCGACTGTCATGGAATGTGCACGGGATATTTCGCCAAACCAAGCGAGGGCTGCACCTGGCTCGGTCATCGTGATTGTAGCACATGTTTCGGTCAAGTTGTGGATTCGGGGCTACTGAAATTTAACTCTAGTGATATCATAATAGCCGTGGTTCGTTCTCACGTGCGTGATGTGTTGGCACGGGTTCACTGCCCAGTTTCGATCCGTGACCTCCAACGCCGTCGCTGATCGTCCCGGGTCAGAGTTCCGGGTGCTGCTCTCGTTATGAACACCATCAGAGGCGGCGATGCAGCGCGTATCTGTTGTGGCTACAGTTGGCTTGTCTCTCTGTTCCCGGCGCTGGACTGCGGCTACTGTGCGGCGCGCTGTTTGGCCTCGCTCGGGCACCGGCTGGCCGGACGCTCATGTGGCCCGTCCGCTCGCGATCTCGATCAAAGTCTGTCCGCGCTCTGCTCGCGCTAGCTTCAGGAGCGTCAAGCGCGTGACTTTGGTCCTTTGTGCTGTAGGGATGGAAATGATCGCTGCAAAATCAGGTGAACTGTCACTGATGGGTCTTTGGTTGGTGATATCGGCCAGATTTGGTGTCATTTGCCACCGCGAACTTCGTCGGCTTGAAATCGGGGCTGCTTATATAGAAAATACCGAAAACGAATGTGACCTTGTTGCGCAAACGGCGTCACGAAGTTTGATACCGATGCTTGAATATGCACATGGTTTGGGGAATGGGGAGAAGCGGATATTCGGTTTCGGCATTGGAAAATATGTACCGCATCGGGTTTACGGCAGGCGTTTGCGTTGCATACAGTCATTGATTATCTGAGGTATTGCGCTGTTCCCGTGACGTAGGACGTGCAGGCGTCTGCTGCGCCATGTTCGACTGCTTGTTGGAAATCTCGTCATCATTGCCCCCAAAGACAGACCTCTTTCACTGTCCGATTGTACGGCTGGGCTGGTCTCGGTCTGAACCGCTGTTCTTGGGTCATGGCTGAAATGCGTTGGCTCTTTCGCCGCCGGTACTTAAAGCGCGTGTTGCCCGGCGCGAGTCCCCACGCGCCATGAAGTCGTCGCTGCGTTCCGCCGTGTGTTTGCCTTCCCCTCCCCCTGCCTTCCGGAACGGCAGTTCCACAACATGGAGCTCGACTAAGTAGCTGTCGTGTCGTGAGGACGCCTTCGACTCTCTGTTTCTCTGGGTGGTATGAGAGCAGTCCGTTGCGCGTCTGCTGGCGGGGAGCGCCGTGGCGGGCGTGCTGCGTGTGGGCGCGGTGCGACCCCGCCGGCCGTCCGACCGGCGGTGCCATGCGACCCGAGCGCGGGGCTGAACGGTGCTTGTCCGGCGGCCGGTGTTTGACGGCGGCGGCGGCGCCGGGACAGGGCCGCGTCACGGCTCCGACGCCGCCGCCGCCCGCTCGCCGCCCTTCGTCTGACGTCACTCGTGTGGCGGCGGCCGCAGGACTTCGGCGACACCGACCTCTACGATGACGTGGTCACGGCGGACGGCGGCGAGGTGGAGAAGGCCGGCGGCGGAGGAGGAGGCGGCGGTGGCCGCAGCAACGGAGCCGCCGATAAGGCCGAGCCCGGCTTCAAGCCGACCAGTTCACGCGGCGGCCGCCGCTACCAGCTGTACGTCGGCAACTTGACCTGGGTCAGTACCGACTGCTGCCACGGCCGTGCGGCGCAGACAAAAACTGGGACGGGACAGGGCTATCTATGAAATAGCTGTGTCCAACGTTTACTCGTATGTGACTGTTGTCTGTTTGGAGGCTGTCTTGAAATCATTGGCATAACATACATGCATTGAATAAGTATAAGTGCAATGGCGTGCTGAAAGATGAGTGTGTCTAGGCCCGGAGCTCAGCTTGTCACGGGTTGTGGGTTTGCATTCCGTCACCGGAGCCTTGTCGAGGCCGGTATGGGCGCTATGTGGCCTCTGATTTCGACGCGGCCTCAAATCCCAAATCATCGTCATCAGGCGGTGTTGAGGGCTGGCGTATACTCTGGGTACCGAGCGTGTCGCTGGCAGCAACCTAGCGGGCGACCATGGCTTTGTGCTGCGCCTGGTGGCAGGAGAAATCTGGCAACTGCCACGTTGTGAATTTCGGTATCAATCGTCCGGACATCGGTGTGATTTGTCATGATGAATGTGTGTGTGTGTGTGGGTACGTGTGTCTTAGGCTAACCTTATTCGGTCTCGGGTCGGTGCAGTGGACAACGGACGCGGACATCTACACTGCCTGCCGTGAGATCGGTGTCAATGACCTGCTCGACATCAAGTTCTACGAGAACCGCATCAACGGACAGTCCAAGGGCTTCTGTATGATCTTCATTGGCTCGGAGGGCAGCTACCAACAGTGCATGGAGAAGCTGAGCAAGAAGGAGCTGCACGGCCAGCACCCGGTTGTGACCTACACCAACAAGCAGGCGCTGCAGCATGTGAGTGACGTCCGACGATCGGCGACTACGCCCGACTGTCCGCTCGTCGCGCTCGGCGGCGCCGCGCTGGAGAGCGGTCCGCGGCCTGGGCCTTGGTCGAAACAGTTGGCATGGTTGCTGTATCCGCCAAGGGTTAAGTACGGTGGGACTGGGCTGTGAGACGGTGTCTGTGCCGTGAGCGGTTAAGTTGGGTGTTGACGCGCCAGACGGCAGTGTCGGTGGGCAGAGCGGCCGCCTGACTTGTCCGTCCGTCCGTCCCCAGTTCGAGTCGCAGTCACGGACCCGGCCGCCGAGTCAGCAGCAGCAGCAGCCGCCGTCTCACCACCAACCTCGCGAGCCGCGCGACAGGCGCGGTCCGCCGCCGGGCCCACCCGGGCCGCCCGGACACCACGGCCGCGGCCCGCCCATGCACGGCGGGCCTGGCATGGGCGGCCCGCCCGGCATGGGACCGCCCGGCATGGGGCCACCCGGCATGGGGCCGCCGCACAGCGACTTCGGCCGCGGCATGGGACCGCCGGGGCCGCTGCCGCCGATGGGGCCGCACCACGGGCCGCCAGGTCCGCCGCCGCCACCGCCGCCACCACAGATGAATCACCGCGGCCCGCCAGGGCCGCCGATGCCGGGTCTGGGTCCGCCGCCGATGAGCATGGCCGGGCCGCCGCGCGGCGCGCCGCCGCCCATGATGGCCGGACCGCCGATACACCAGCCGCCCCGCATGTTGCCGGCGCCGCCGCCGCAGCCGCAGCCGCCTCCGCCGCCGCAGCCTGTGATGCTGGCGCAGCGGCCGGCGCCGCTGGAGTGGGGCCGGCCGCCGCAGCAGCCGGCGCCGTTCGCCGGCCCGCCGCCGGCCATGGGTCCGCCGGCCGGGCCGCCGCCGCCGGCCGTCAGCGCGCCGGCGCCGCACGTCAACCCGGCCTTCTTCGCGCCGAGCAGCCAGCCGCCTCCGGGGTACAGCCACGGCCCGCCGCCGGCGGCGCCGGCGCCGGCCGCCGCCCAGCCGCCGGCCGCGCCCGCCGCGCCCGCCATCAGCGAGGCCGAGTTCGAGGAGATCATGAACCGCAACCGCACCGTCTCGTCGTCGGCCATCGCGCGCGCCGTCGCCGACGCCTCTGCTGGTGAGAGTCGGCGGATGCCTCGTGGGCAGCATGCGACCGGGCCGTGGGTGCTGCCGAATGAACACTCCACCCAAGCGCCGACTGTTCCCATGCATGTTAAGTTAAAATGAGGTGTAAGTTTGATGTGAAAAATAACTCGGGTTGATGGCGATAACAGATCTGGCCCGTATTGCCTGGCTTTCGGGCGTTATCTGGCGGCGGCAGTTGTCATGGTGTGCCGAGTGTGGTCTGACTCGGCCGGTGGGCGCGCATTGCGGTGCGGCTGCTGACGAGGCGCGTCTCTGTCTGCCAGGCGAGTACGCCAGCGCCATCGAGACCCTGGTGACGGCCATCTCGCTCATCAAGCAGTCCAAGGTGTCGTCGGACGAGCGGTGTAAGATCCTCATCAGCTCGCTGCAGGACACGCTGCACGGTATCGAGGCCAAGAGCTACGGCCGTAAGGAGCGAGGTCAGTTGCCAGACATCAACACCGCAGAACGCTTCAGCGGTACCCTGGGAAATTCGATTCGGATCAGTTTTACATACCCCTGTTAATTCAGCATCAGAACTGATAATGTGGAAAGACCAGGCGCTGAAAGCCGTGCTCCGCCACGTTCAGCGCGTGGCCGCCTGGTTCAACCTTGTGCTCTGCGTCCGGACCGGACCGCGGTCCGCCAGACTGACACGTGTCCTGTGTCCCGCAGAGCGGTCCAGGTCCCGGGACCGGGACCGCTACCACAGCAGCCGGCGCCGCGAGCGCTCGCGCTCCCGCGACCGCGAGCGTGACCGATCGCGCAGCCGCGAGCGCTACGCGGACGAACGGCGCGACCGCGACAGGGAGCGCGAGAGGTGAGCGGCGGACCGGGGGAGGGAGGCCGACCGGACGGTGAGTGTAGAGGGGAGGACGGGGAGGGCCCGAGGACCAGGCAGACCGCGCCAGGTGAGAGGCGGGGGCAGCGTCTGGTGTGAGTGGCTTGGTGGGGCGGCGTAGCCGTGGGGGGTCAGAGGAGGCGCGGTGTCTGATGTGATGGCTGGGTGGACCGGTGCAGCCCGGGGCCGGACGGGGGCAGCGTCTGGTGTGAGTGGCTGGGTGGGCCGGTGCAGCCCGGGACCAGGGGCAGTGTCAGGTGTGAGTGGCTGGGTGGGCCGGTGCAGCCCGGGGCCGGGGGCAGTGTCGCCGCTCACTGCTACAACGGGATGACTCAGTACGCTGGTGTGGAGCGAGTGAAGGGAGCGTGCCGGCTGTACAGACCTGCTGTACACGAGGAGGGCAGCTGAGCTGAGCCCCTCAATGTCAAGCGTACCCGGGTCAGCCGCTTAGCCGTAGTTAACTCCGATACGGGATGGGGGTATGGGCTCCTGTGAGGCTGCTGGAGATTTTTTGCTGCGCTTGTTAGGTCAAGTCGCACGCTGTACGCGTTGTGCTGTGACCAGGGGATTCGATGGCGTTAGGGTGAGTGAACGGAAGAGCATGGAGCTGGTGCTCGTGAAGGAGCCATGAATAGGTGAGACATTGTCGTGTATCCTAAGATTATAGACAGGCTTTATAGACTTTATGTGTTGTTGTTTCGTTTGGTCCAATAACACTGTTATCGCATAATTTGGATGTAGACAGCGGTCCTCAGGGAGCTTTCAGTGTTAGAAAGCTCAGCAAACTTCATTGAAATAATTCGAACGTGGCGCATTTCGTGTGTATTTAATGTGCAGTGCATGTTGTTCGCCGGGCCAGTGCCGTGGCGGAGAGCAAGATACTAGTTCAAAGTTCTGGAAATCGGGGACGGGAGTCATCGTATAACTTGACTGTTGCGCGTCATAGGCGTCAACAGAGGCGTTCTGCCGGCCTGGCACCTTCCATCCGCGGATACCAAATGCATTTTACATTCATGTGGCTTTGCTAAGCCGCTCACGGTTCGCCATTTGCGGCTGTTGGGTCAAACACTCGGGAGCTATAGTAAAATCACGGTTGTCGCATTGTTCGGTTATGTTGGCGTTGTCCGTGAGCGCGGCGTGTGCAGTGTCCGCAATATCACCCTCCATGTCTGGCCAACGTGGATGCCGCGACCTGTGTTGGCGCGTCCTCGGTCCGCTGTTGTGTGCCGCCGGCGGCTGCGGGCGTGCGCCGCCGCCGTCGGCGGAGGCGCCCCGTCGGCTCCGTTCGCCGCCGCCGCCGCCGGTCGCTGAGTGCGGCCACCGTTTACCCCGCAGTGCGACCAGAGCGGCGGTCGCTCCGCGCGGCAGCGGCGTCGGACCAAGTTACCCGCCGCTGGCCAGGCCGAAGATCAGCGAGCCGAAGTACATAGCTCTAGTGGTGTCCGTGTGGGGTGGGCTGAGACGCGCCGGGTCTCGCCGGGTGTGCTCCCGCCGACCTCTCTGTCCTGACCCGGGCGCGGCCGCGGTCTGTATTCACGTGGTCATTGGCGTGCTCCGGTGTTTCCACCTGGCCCTCGTAAGGTGTGAGGCCAGGTGGAGGCATGTGTGAAGATGCCTGCCATCTACGTCATCGTTGACCTAGAGCCTAAGAGGAGGCGCCTAGCAGATAGTTTGTTGCTCCTATGAAATCGTGTACCAGAGCCCTGTCCTTAACCGTCTTCCGGCCGACGTACCCCATGTGTTGTGTCGCCTTTCCTAGTCCTGTTTTGGAAGGGTACTGGGTTAGCAAAGTTTGTTTTTTTGTGCCGGTGTCGGGTATTGCAAAACATATTTTACCTAACTGGATCATTTTGTTCGGGGTAGTTCGTTTACGTAGGAGTTTGTTCACAAAAGCGTTGTCATCGATTTCCAGAAAATACTCATTCGCGCTGATGCCCAATGTCGGTGAACATTCAATACCTTTGTGAAATTCTCAATCATCTTTTTCGTGGTTAAAATTGAACTTGAGTTGCGCTTTTAGTGCTATCGGCAACATCAGACGCTTGGCCGTTTAGTTAATGTTATTGGTTTTTTTTATTTGTTTTCCGTACAACCTTGAAACTTCCATTTAATATGAATTTGCGATTCGCGATCATGCAAGGTGTAAGGACATTGTCCTAAGCTCTTGTTTAGACTGGGTCTTAATTTCGCTGCTAGTGATGAACTAGGACAAGAAAGAAACGGGGACGACGCGGCTGCTGTCTTGTTTGTAACTGTGCAGAGCGCCGGCCAGCGATGTGCGGTGCGGCGCCGCCCTGACCCGCGGCGTCCTCCGGGTGCCGTCTGACCCTCGTCCGCTCCGTTTCAGCCTGTCCGCGCGCTACTACGACGACCGGTACCGGGAGAAGGAGCGGCGCGACGACCGATCTCGCGACGAGCGCGAGGTGCACCGGCGTGACGAGCGCTCGCGGGACCGCGATCGCGACCGGCGCGACCCGCACTAGGCGGCGCCGCGGGCCCGGCCGGCCGGCCGGCACGGCCCGCTCCGGCGGCCGCTCCTCTCTGTCTCCCTGCCCGCTGCTCTGTCCGTTTTATTCAGGCGAGGCTGTGGATGCCTGGCGAGGCCTTGCGCGGGCCAGGCAAGGCCTTGCGCAGGCCAGGCGCACGTAGGTGTCGAAATAAACTTGTCATTAAAACAACGGCTGGTTCTTTGTGGCGTCGCCGGTTTGTGTGCGGGATTTCGAGTGAGAGTGGATGGCTGCTACAATATGCGTGTTTTGTAAACGTCATGCGCATTGCTTGAGGCTGAAAAGCGCCGTAGCTCGTTTAATTGTCATTTGTCGAGCGCCGAAAACATAGTACCATCTCCGGAGCGCAAGCGGCCGGTCATACCTATCGACGATTGCGAGCGCCGTCATTGTAGTACGCGAGCGGCGGACCGACGAAATGACCTGAGAGCCTCCAGCGCATGTCCCTCTCTTTGGTGTCTAAACAAGATCCGAACACGAGCAATGTCAGGCCCGGTCGAATGCGGTTCTGAAGTGCGACACGTTTGCCACGGGTCATGTTGCCCAGAGAGGTCCTGGATGGGACGAAATGACCAAGCGTCCGCACCTTCGTCTCCCACCTGGGGGTCCTGGTTGGAATCGCGGTTTCGCCCTTAGTCCCTGAGGGTTAATGGCGCCCTGCGGCCGCTGACGCCCCTTGAAAGTGCGCGACGACTAGCGAAGTTTTCCCTGTCCATGAAAAAGGTGAAGTTGATCGGTCGACATCAGACGCGTCCCTGCTGCTACTGCAGGTGGCCGCCGGCACGGGCCTAGCCGGGAACAACAGACGCGTGATAGGCGTTGAACCGGCGGTACGGTAGCCGGATGTACCACCCCATCGACCCGGCCGGTGAGGACGTTTCAGGCTCGCGGCGTCGGCCGCTCAGCCCTCGCGTGACGCGAGACCTCCGATCAGCGTCAGCGGGCGCTGCCGTACGTGGCACGCGCGGCGTCTGTTCAGCAGCGTCCCGGCGCGTTCACTTCCGATCGCTGCGGGTGGGAGCGGAGGGCGACGGCCCACGGAGCCGTCCCAGTGGCCCGCCCGTGTGATGACTGACCTTTGACCTTCGGCCCGGGCCGGACGATCCGCGGGCCACGCGGCCTCGCGGACCGCAAGGTATGGTGAGAAATGGATGCTGAAGGGCTGCGTTTATAATGTTTCACGCATTCCTTTCCTACGCGCCAATTTCACTAATCACTTGCACGTCGAGAACCAATGTACGTTTATGTCGGGAATTTTCAACAAAGCAGGGTTAGATTGTTATTGCGGCTTATAAAGCACATCAGTCTTGCAAACTCGGCGCCCCATTTCAGTTCAGGGCGTAGAACACCGCACGGACTCATCTGCAGGCTCGAGCTCGGCCGCAAGCTCTTGTGGCGTGTCTGGATCGCAGTGTTCACTGTCACTCGAGTGGCCAGTGACGTGGCACGTCACGAGCGGCCGGTGTGCAGAACCCCTCCTCCAGCCGCTCGCGAACAAGCCGTCTCAAAGTGGCGCTGCCGGCGCGGGGCCGCCCTCTGTTGACAGCGGGCCCATTACCCGGGGCGTCGGCGCCAGGTGACGGCGCGCCCCGCCCGCCGGCCGCCAGGGAACGGGCCCGGCCGCACCACCCCTGCCCCAGCACCGAACATTGTTGGTGGCGCGCGCCCAGCCATCTCGGCAAACACGGCGCGCGTTGACAGTGGCGCGGCGGCAAACACGCTGACGAGCGGAGCGGGCGGCGCTGGCTGACACATTTGCCTATGATTACGGTCTGGTTTGGTCTGCCGGCCAGGGGTCCTGGCCCGACCTGGTCGGGCTGGCCATTGCACGTGTGTGAAGTTACCGGCAGTTGCATATTTGTACTCGGCAGAAATGCATTGTTGTGTGGTCGTCAGTCAGGTCAATATGGAGACGGCCTCTTGTGCGGAGCTGCATTCACATCAGCCTGAGTAAGCATTGATGCCCCCTCTAGGTTAAAGGGAGTACCCCACATTTGGTACGTATTTTTAAAACATACTCTAACGAAACCTCAGGGCTAGTTACGTCTAAAAATAAAGTTGCGTAGCGCGACTGCAGCACAGTTAAGACAAAATGAAGATATCAATTCAAGCTATTTTCGAGTCCAAATTTCGCTGACGACGCTTTGTAACAGCACTTTGCTTATTCCCTGCAGTCGCAACCACCGTCGTCGTGGCTACCACCGTGCGCACCTCTTCTCTCTGGTGCGAATAAATGAACGTCTTTATTGGCCTAACGGGCGAGGGCCTGTTTCCGAGAGGCGCACAGGTTAAAGTCTGAACCAGCGCGTCACATGGATCGTGTGATACTCCCATTCCCGAAGCCAAAGTGCGCCTCAAAAACGGCCAGTGTGCTAAGCGCCCTAGGGGAGAAATCAACGCCATCGTATAACGTTTCGTTGAATTCAGCAGATAAAAGTTTCATGCTCACATATCTTTTTGTGTAAATAGTATCTCAGCTATCGTAACATTTATTACACAAACATTTCGACACATTAGTGTGCTGCAAACATTACAGAACACGTAGGTGGGAAAAGGCAAGGCAAATGAAAAGCATTACATTTCTACTGCCGGTTTGGGGACTTCCAACATAAATTTTGAGCTAATCGGAAGGACCCAATGTCAACCAGGATGTTAAATGCGATTTTATCCGTGGGGTCGAATAATTCAAATAGAACTTCTCAGCTAATCAAAAGGATTTTGAGAAAACTGGTATTACTGATCAAATCGTGCGCGTCTGATGTACAAAGTGAAAAATACAACAAAAAGGTGGGATACTCCCTTTAAACACGTGACGTAACATCAATGGCAGGGTAGCGACCAATCAGGAAGTAGCTTTTGCCCTGATACCCGCTGGGCAACACCCAATCACATGGCAGGGCTTCTCGGTAATCACTGCGTGGCCGCGGGTCACCGGCGGCATGTTGTGTAGGCTGTACCGCCAAGCCGGGTGCGCCCACAGCATCTGCTCCTTCGGGACTGCTGGCCGAAGAAGTCCTTGATGTGGTCGTGGCGGCTGGTCGTGGCCCAACCGGTCCGGCGGTCTTCACTGATGAGCGCTACACCGGTGAGGCGGTGGCAATGGCGGCGGCAACTAGAGTCGAACGCGTCGAAGTGCTCGATCTTGATAATCTCGCGGCATTATCTCTTTTTTATCTCTATCTCTTTATCTCATTATCTCTCTCGGGTTATCAGCCCAGCAGGCCTTCACTCCCCACATCGTCGCCAGCTGTCTACACCACGGTCTGCAAGCCCCGAGGATTACTATCAAGCGAGGAGTACTGCGGGCGCAGTTCTCAGTTCCACCGACGCTACTTCAGGTTTGGGAGTCGATATCGCAGTGACGAGCTCAGACACGGCGCGCTTGCCAGGAGTTCACGACAATATCCTCGATGTCACCCAGCATCGAGGTCTCAGCCGCCAATGGACAGCTGATGCACAGCATGGGAGCCTTCTGGCCATCAGGTGTTGGAACGACAGAGCAGCTGAAAACGCAGACCATGCCTTGAGGGAGTCGCGGGGACTCCTCGCTCGGCATCCAGAACATAGCCCACAGGCTGCTCGCTGTTGCAGCCTAGTATCTAGGCTAGAAGCACACGCAAACACCACAGCGTGTCCCCTGTGTGCTCCTCCAGGGACTATTCACGGCAACAGCAACAGAAGCAGCTTTGCCATGGACTCCTTCAGGAGTACGGCGACGTCTTCAGCACTGACGGCAGTAGCACATGTCTGAAGCCAATGGCTGGTCTTCCGATCGTGATTTAAATCGAAGCAGAAACACGCGCGGCACGTCCTGTTTCTAACCCACAGAGGGATCACTGGAAACACCGGCTGGGCGAAATGGTGCAGCAAGACATCATTACGCTAGCCATTGAGCTGCTGCTGGAGATGCTGCGGCTGCCCATCCAGAATCTTCTGTAGCCACGCTGGCGGGGTCTCGTCTTCTTTCTCGCCCGTCCCGCAGGTAGAGCGCAGCTCACATGTCATGCAGGGACGCCACGGCAGAATTCAGCAGAGGTTCAGAAGAGTGTCGGCTGCGCCATGCCCTGTTGTTGTCTGGCGGGTCGATACAGAGTCGGCGTCTTGTGCAGAGGTGTATTCACACCAGACTCGTTAAGCACACTGATATCTCATTCAGGGTCAAACACGCGACGTAGCGTTGATGAAAGCGTAGTGATTAAAAGGGGCCGTCGAACTGTCGAAGTTTGCGCCAGCGGTATCCTCTAGTGTTCTGACTCATTACTCGAGCACATTTCGCGGGGCATCAGGCGGCCTCAGATTTCTTCAAAATTGCTACAGGAGTATAGCTTACGAAATGGTATCCAAAGTCAAGGCCTTTGGTAGAGCACTAAAGCGCTGACCTCTAGGGTCACCGAACATCAGGTCCATATCCTTGGCCATAATACGAGAGCATGCCCGTTCAGCGGTATATTGATATGTTCGAATCGATCTATAGTAATGATTGTGTTTGTATATCTATAGTAATTGGTTGTGTCTATAATCTACAGTAATTGGTTGTGTCTCGATCGCACAGTATTTGAAGCAGCCAAAAAGTCGTGTAACCGAACCGGGAACGAGGTCAGGTAAGGTTGCATGATGACCATAAAGGAGGAAGTGTAGCTGTCGATGCATTTCTAACGAGCGTATGCAATGGTGAGACGAATGGTGATATCGAAATAATTATGGAGATAATCTCATACATCTTGTATTAATCAAATGATACGTTTAATACCTTATCGACATACAATTTCCCATCGATTTTACCATTGGTTGATACCGTTTGGAGCATTACACCTTCAACTGTGTTCAAAAGAGACACAGTTGTAGTGCATACAAGATTGCGTCCTCGGCTTTTCGCGGGGCATCATCTAGACCTGCTGTAATCGATTCCAGGTACCGAGTGCATCGTGGTTTGGACGCACAAAAAGTCAGGTAACGGTCTCAGGAACAAGTCAGGCCAGGTCACGTGATCAAATTGCGCGATCAGTGACACACTCCCAGGCGCCGCATGCCATGGCAATGTGATGGTGTCATTAGCGTCATCCAGTGGGGGTTGTTTGGATGTGGTCTCATATAGATCATAGAATAATCAATTTGTAATCCAATATTTGATTTCCCATTGACTGAACACGCCACCCCACGGCCTAGAAACTTC